ATCCCTCCGTCGCTTCCCTTATGGTTTTAATACGGCGGGAACGTGCCACGTGTCGTTCCCTCGGAGCCCGTATGACCCGAAAACATCAATTGTTATTTTATTTATTTTCCTTTTATTTTTCCTCAAAAAGAATGGAGATAAATATTAAAATTTCGTATTTATTCATTTATCTATTTTTAACACAAGAATATTTAATATTTAATATTCAATATTCAATATTCAATAAATATATATAAAAATATCTATCCATCCTTCCATCCAAATCTTAATCTTAATCTAAATCTATGTAAATATAAATATAAATATAAATATCATTTTAAATTTATGTAAAAAATTTGTAATTCTTGGGGGGAAGAGCTTTGTTCCATGGTCGATCTCACAAATATATGTATATCGAGATGGCTCACTCGGTGATGGAGATCATCATGTCGGAGTCGTGATTGTTGCAGACATCGAATATGTCGAAACATGTGATGTTCTCCATATCGTGATTGTTGCAGACATTCGATTGTTCGAGACATCGAATATGTCAAAACATGTGATATTCTCCATATCGTGAAGGGGATGCCGATTCTTGGGAATGACCCCGGCTTCGCCCGTCGTGAGAGGTCGAAACTCCCCATCGCACGTGAGGGTGAGGCTCGAATGATTCCGACCATTCACCAAAAAAATCACAAAAGGGTGGGGGTAGGGGTGATGGGGGTGGGATCGTTCCCATCCACCGTATACCGGGTTGGGTGACTGTTTATTTAACCACCACTACATATTTGTAGTGGTGGTAGGGTGACAATGTGTCAACCCCGAGGGTGATCCCACCCCGGCACCCCCAACATGCACTCACGCACTTGCCATATATATGCATCAAAATCCCTCCGTCGCTTCCCTTATGGTTTTAATACGGCGGGAACGTGCCACGTGTCGTTCCCTCGGAGCCCGTATGACCCGAAAACATCAATTGTTATTTTATTTATTTTCCTTTTATTTTTCCTCAAAAAGAATGGAGATAAATATTAAAATTTCGTATTTATTCATTTATCTATTTTTAACACAAGAATATTTAATATTTAATATTCAATATTCAATAAATATATATAAAAATATCTATCCATCCTTCCATCCAAATCTTAATCTTAATCTAAATCTATGTAAATATAAATATAAATATAAATATCATTTTAAATTTATGTAAAAAATTTGTAATTCTTGGGGGGAAGAGCTTTGTTCCATGGTCGATCTCACAAATATATGTATATCGAGATGGCTCACTCGGTGATGGAGATCATCATGTCGGAGTCGTGATTGTTGCAGACATCGAATATGTCGAAACATGTGATGTTCTCCATATCGTGATTGTTGCAGACATTCGATTGTTCGAGACATCGAATATGTCAAAACATGTGATATTCTCCATATCGTGAAGGGGATGCCGATTCTTGGGAATGACCCCGGCTTCGCCCGTCGTGAGAGGTCGAAACTCCCCATCGCACGTGAGGGTGAGGCTCGAATGATTCCGACCATTCACCAAAAAAATCACAAAAGGGTGGGGGTAGGGGTGATGGGGGTGGGATCGTTCCCATCCACCGTATACCGGGTTGGGTGACTGTTTATTTAACCACCACTACATATTTGTAGTGGTGGTAGGGTGACAATGTGTCAACCCCGAGGGTGATCCCACCCCGGCACCCCCAACATGCACTCACGCACTTGCCATATATATGCATCAAAATCCCTCCGTCGCTTCCCTTATGGTTTTAATACGGCGGGAACGTGCCACGTGTCGTTCCCTCGGAGCCCGTATGACCCGAAAACATCAATTGTTATTTTATTTATTTTCCTTTTATTTTTCCTCAAAAAGAATGGAGATAAATATTAAAATTTCGTATTTATTCATTTATCTATTTTTAACACAAGAATATTTAATATTTAATATTCAATATTCAATATTCAATAAATATATATAAAAATATCTATCCATCCTTCCATCCAAATCTTAATCTTAATCTAAATCTATGTAAATATAAATATAAATATAAATATCATTTTAAATTTATGTAAAAAATTTGTAATTCTTGGGGGGAAGAGCTTTGTTCCATGGTCGATCTCACAAATATATGTATATCGAGATGGCTCACTCGGTGATGGAGATCATCATGTCGGAGTCGTGATTGTTGCAGACATCGAATATGTCGAAACATGTGATGTTCTCCATATCGTGATTGTTGCAGACATTCGATTGTTCGAGACATCGAATATGTCAAAACATGTGATATTCTCCATATCGTGAAGGGGATGCCGATTCTTGGGAATGACCCCGGCTTCGCCCGTCGTGAGAGGTCGAAACTCCCCATCGCACGTGAGGGTGAGGCTCGAATGATTCCGACCATTCACCAAAAAAATCACAAAAGGGTGGGGGTAGGGGTGATGGGGGTGGGATCGTTCCCATCCACCGTATACCGGGTTGGGTGACTGTTTATTTAACCACCACTACATATTTGTAGTGGTGGTAGGGTGACAATGTGTCAACCCCGAGGGTGATCCCACCCCGGCACCCCCAACATGCACTCACGCACTTGCCATATATATGCATCAAAATCCCTCCGTCGCTTCCCTTATGGTTTTAATACGGCGGGAACGTGCCACGTGTCGTTCCCTCGGAGCCCGTATGACCCGAAAACATCAATTGTTATTTTATTTATTTTCCTTTTATTTTTCCTCAAAAAGAATGGAGATAAATATTAAAATTTCGTATTTATTCATTTATCTATTTTTAACACAAGAATATTTAATATTTAATATTCAATATTCAATATTCAATAAATATATATAAAAATATCTATCCATCCTTCCATCCAAATCTTAATCTTAATCTAAATCTATGTAAATATAAATATAAATATAAATATCATTTTAAATTTATGTAAAAAATTTGTAATTCTTGGGGGGAAGAGCTTTGTTCCATGGTCGATCTCACAAATATATGTATATCGAGATGGCTCACTCGGTGATGGAGATCATCATGTCGGAGTCGTGATTGTTGCAGACATCGAATATGTCGAAACATGTGATGTTCTCCATATCGTGATTGTTGCAGACATTCGATTGTTCGAGACATCGAATATTTCAAAACATGTGATATTCTCCATATCGTGAAGGGGATGCCGATTCTTGGGAATGACCCCGGCTTCGCCCGTCGTGAGAGGTCGAAACTCCCCATCGCACGTGAGGGTGAGGCTCGAATGATTCCGACCATTCACCAAAAAAATCACAAAAGGGTGGGGGTAGGGGTGATGGGGGTGGGATCGTTCCCATCCACCGTATACCGGGTTGGGTGACTGTTTATTTAACCACCACTACATATTTGTAGTGGTGGTAGGGTGACAATGTGTCAACCCCGAGGGTGATCCCACCCCGGCACCCCCAACATGCACTCACGCACTTGCCATATATATGCATCAAAATCCCTCCGTCGCTTCCCTTATGGTTTTAATACGGCGGGAACGTGCCACGTGTCGTTCCCTCGGAGCCCGTATGACCCGAAAACATCAATTGTTATTTTATTTATTTTCCTTTTATTTTTCCTCAAAAAGAATGGAGATAAATATTAAAATTTCGTATTTATTCATTTATCTATTTTTAACACAAGAATATTTAATATTTAATATTCAATATTCAATATTCAATAAATATATATAAAAATATCTATCCATCCTTCCATCCAAATCTTAATCTTAATCTAAATCTATGTAAATATAAATATAAATATAAATATCATTTTAAATTTATGTAAAAAATTTGTAATTCTTGGGGGGAAGAGCTTTGTTCCATGGTCGATCTCACAAATATATGTATATCGAGATGGCTCACTCGGTGATGGAGATCATCATGTCGGAGTCGTGATTGTTGCAGACATCGAATATGTCGAAACATGTGATGTTCTCCATATCGTGATTGTTGCAGACATTCGATTGTTCGAGACATCGAATATGTCAAAACATGTGATATTCTCCATATCGTGAAGGGGATGCCGATTCTTGGGAATGACCCCGGCTTCGCCCGTCGTGAGAGGTCGAAACTCCCCATCGCACGTGAGGGTGAGGCTCGAATGATTCCGACCATTCACCAAAAAAATCACAAAAGGGTGGGGGTAGGGGTGATGGGGGTGGGATCGTTCCCATCCACCGTATACCGGGTTGGGTGACTGTTTATTTAACCACCACTACATATTTGTAGTGGTGGTAGGGTGACAATGTGTCAACCCCGAGGGTGATCCCACCCCGGCACCCCCAACATGCACTCACGCACTTGCCATATATATGCATCAAAATCCCTCCGTCGCTTCCCTTATGGTTTTAATACGGCTGTTATATGGAGTTTTGAAATCAAATTTGTTTAAAAATAGCATAATTGACTTTTTTGAATTGAATGTAGTAATATAGAATTGTATATGACAATCTAAATATTTTTATTATATAATCTGCACATGTGCGATATACTAATAATGTCAGAGGGCACATTCCATTTAAGAATATGTAATATATATATATATATATATAATTAAACAACTTTGATAGTCACTTGATTATCCTGATCTTATGTTGTGTCGAGGGTATACAATATCATGTAGGAGCTAGTTTAAGTATCTAAAAAAATTTAGAATAAAATTAGAATATATTATGTATAAAGAAGCATAACAAACTTGTCCGTCAAGATCTCTTGTGTGAAAGCCGAATCGATGGAATAGGTTATTTGATGTTGAAAGCCTGCAATCGTTCGACGTGGGAAAGCACGTCTTTGCGCCGTGCACTCTACGCAAAAGCTCCCTTGTCTCCGATCGCTATGCATTCTGCACGCTCAATTGGGAGTGAGATGAGAGAGAAGCAGTTTCATCCTCCACTGCGCACTTCAGCGGGATTTGCGAATAGCCTGAAGGTTGGGAAATTCTGTATGTCATCAGAATCCGGAGTTTGAGACATGATGACGTGCAGTCCGCGAATTCTTAGTGAGCATTGTGTTTTTGATTATCTCATACTGAAACTATACAGGGAGTATGTCTTCTGGTGGAACCCGCCTTGGACTAACATGACAATGATATGTATCCCAATTCACCAATCCAACGCCTTAATCTCATAAGTAGTGACACCGTTATTTGATGCGACAAATCTCGTTCCATCCTGCGACAATCCTGCTGGAATCCGTTCACGAAGTCTGCACTCAAGAGAGGAACCAACTGCAACCCGTGCGACGGTACAACTACTCTGCTTTTGCCAGGGTCGGAAAAGTGCATGGTGGTGTGATAAATGAGTGAGCGGACGACAAGTCTGGGGGACCACACGCTGGGCCCACGTGCGCTTCAACTGCAAGGAAGAGTCTGGTATCTAGCACATCATAGTCGACGAAACGAACCCCCACGACCAGGCTGGTGACATTGAAAAGTGAATTGAGAGGCCGGATTGGTGAATCACGACGTTCTTCCGTTTCCAACCGGTGTAATAAATCCGATTACATCCCTACTTTGTTCTGTATAGGCCGGTGTCTGCGGTCGAAGCCGATGATGAGGGGCCGTGAAAGGGCCTTGCAGTGATTGCTGAAAAGTCCAGAACAAGGATCCCTGTGATGTGGGACCCATGAGAAGTACGAACTCTAACAGATGACGACCAAGGCTCCAGAGGTGATGGGTGGATTCAACAGATGGACGGAAAGTTCTGATTGCCATGTACTAACCTCCACGCATTTCCACGACCGTCATAGGTCGGCACTAAAGGTCGCCAACCAATCTGACATTGCCATCTCACTACAACTGTTGCTAGTTGAATATGCTCTCCGATACCGTGGGCATATGTTGGTTGGTCTCTTTTTACAGTTGTGTGTGTTCCGTGGAATATCAGAGCACAGCGGGTTCAGTTCTTTCATCTTTCATATTGCACTTTCCGCATTGGTTGGTTCCGAAGCTTATTGTTGACTGCATGAGGAAGATTTTAGTCCAGACACGAAGAAGGGAGAGAGAGTCTAACCGTCATACGAATCCACGGGGATACGTCAATTCTTTGCAGTAGCAGTTGTAGAATAGGTATTAGATAGAGAACTCTCATCCTGCACTCCATCAAATTGGTGCCAGACGTAGAGGCGGAATTGGAATCTAATGTGAGAACTGCGGACTGGATTGCAGGAAGGATACTACATAAGCAGGGGCTCGAATCCAGCAGATCTAGTTTCTTGGAGTAGCTTTTCACGTCGCGTGTGAATTTCGAGACGTGAGTCAGATAGACTGCTTCTTGTGCTATCACCAGATGATTGATCGTGTTCGCATTTCAAGGTGCACTTTAAGTCTCTACATCACAAACTAGTGCTGTTTGTTACATACGCACTTCCACTCACTCAGATCCAGGGGAATTGAGGATCTTTACCGAAATATTGGCAATCTGTGAAGGGGAAGATCAATGGCTCGACAATCGACTCTTGGGTCTGTTCTGGTTCTTACTCTCTGTCTCGCTGCCACGGTTGCCAGCGAGACCGACCTAGTCATTCGGTTGGATGACAGACAGAGCGACGGAGAAAAAGAATGTGCCGTTTTTCTCCTGAAAGCAAGGTTGGGTGATTCTGATACAGAAGTTCCTCATCAGTGCCAGGATATGGTTAGATCTTATTTAGAAGAAGAGGGGGAAAAGCTTAATGTTAAAAAGGAGTGCTCTAGCTTTCTTCTAAACGGTGAGCTAAACAACATTCAAGGATGGATGCCCCCACCTGAATGCGAAGATTACATCGCTTCCTACATGGAGGACGGACAATATGAGGTGATTTTTATTTCCAATCCCACCACTCTTGGAGCCTCGATGATTTCTCATTTCTGTTCGAGGCTTTGTTTCTTACAACTCTCGACTATTTGGAGACAATTCCAGAAGTATACATTATTCCAGTGAAAGAAGGTGTATAAATTTTATCTTTCCAAGTTACAGATGAAGTTTGTATTGTTGCGGTATTAATTTAACATTCAATTGAAGTTTTCAAGGGGACTAGACAATGAATCCATCAAAATTATGACTTATTTATTTTCTTTTTGGCTGGTTTCATATACAGACTGACGTCCGTGTAGCTCTATCTGCTGCTCGCTCTTATCTTCAATCCATCTTTCCTACTGAAGGCGTCGATGCGGTGGTCTTTGATATTGATGAGACGTGTTTGTCAAATCTGCCATACTACCGCGTCCATCAATACGGGTATTCTTCTATTCTACTTTTCTATGTACATTTGCTTCTGTATAATCTCAAAACTTGGGTAGACGCGCTTCAAGCATTAACTGCATCTTGCGTTCTGAGGTTCGTTTGAATAGTGCAGATAACTTCTAGCAATACGTATCTTCCAAGCCTTGAACAGCCAATCTTGCCAACCACCATATCGTTCTTACGGCCTTTTATTTGTTCTTTGTCCTTCTTGAACAGGAAATTCGTTTGTTTGAGTCCATCTCTCCATGTTCTTCGTTCTTTGAAATTTCTGTTGGCTTGTGCTATGTTCTCACTCGAAACAACCTTGTATAAATTACATCAATTTGTATCGGCTGTCATAGCCTGAAACTGTAGAACGCCAGCCTTCATTTAGCTGCACTTTCCTGTATAAAACCCTAGAATTATGTTTAGTTTGCAACAGTTTGACATATCATGCTCCCCTATTTCAGTTCACTTGGAGCATAAGTTTTATGCCACTCAACAGTCTTCCAATTCCACTTCACCCCGGTAGATCTGCTGTTTGCAAGAGCAACGTGCAGTATAAGCTGGTGACCACCTTTGAGACAATCCTTGTCCTTATCGTGGAACTACGCTAAGGAGGCAACCTAATTGTTATATTGGAGAAAGAGTTACATTCTTAGTACCATTACGTTGTAGCGGACCGATCGCTGTGCTTTGAAAGCGTTTTACATCTTCCATTTACAAGATATGTGTTGATGGGCGCCGTATAATTGATTTGCCTTTAGATGAAGCTTGCGCTGTAAACAAAGTGAAAGACTCAAACCTTGGTTCAAATTGCGTTGCTACATCCAGGGTTGAAAAATTTCAAAAGGCCGTCTTCAACGAATATGTAGCTCAGAGTAAACAGCCAGTCATGAAGGCAGCTCTGGCGCTGTACCAAGAACTTCTGCAGAACAATTGGGCCATTATTTTCATCACTGGAAGAGACGAGGAAGCGCGTTCTTACACTTCCAAGAATCTCCGGGATGCCGGCTACGAAAGTTGGGCTGAGCTCATTTTAAGGTATTCGATGTTTCTTGAGCATTCTGATGCAAATAGAGCTTTAATGGGCTGACACATGCGTCGTCAAGCAGTTCGTCTTTCAAAACTTGACTTTTGTATTGTAGGTCCAGGTATGAAAAGTCAAACGTTGCATCCCCTTTTTTCATGCATATGGATTATTCATCAAGACTACATACTCGTTCATTCCAATATTTTGTAGGTAATGATAGGTTTTTGGTCTAAATACAAATTTTGCTCCACATCACATATTTTTTAATAACCATCTGGAAAATAATCTGGTTCTGATTCAGAACTTATTTGTTCTAACATGACTTGTTGGCTTTTTAGACAACCAGAGGAGGAACATGACAGTGCAGTATTGTACAAGTCAAATCGTCGAGCTGCATTGGAGAAGAAGGGTTATCGCATCAGAGCATCAATAGGTGATCAGTGGAGTGATCTTGAAGGCCTTTCTCCTGGGATGAGAAGCTTCAAGTTACCCAATCCAATGTACTATATCTTTTAGATTCACTGCATGACTAGGTCCTCTAACCCGAGCAAAGTCGCGGTAAGTGCCTGGTTTGAGTTATAACATGCGTAGCTTAGACCAACCAGCCAAAGCTTGCCCTAAGTACCCCATCTGTCACTCGTACCTGCTTAAATCCTTATTCATTTCAAATTAATTTTTTAGTAGAATTTATTCTTCATAAGGATTGTAGGAGAAGATGCGGTTATCGGTAGAGTTGAAACAGGAGACACGCTATTGTTGCGAGCGCTACATGCTCTTTTCGATGGCTAGAGTCCTGTAGTGTTTCGATCACGAAGAAATTGGGCATGCCTACTCACTGTGAGTATTGTCGAGGAAACCCCAATTGTGGTGCTCCCCTAACGCATATGTAGGTGTCTTAACATCGCCCGAATGTAGAGTTTATTTGTATATATTTAGCTGTAGAGACCACGAAAAATTCGGCGTGCCAACTCACTATGAGTATTGTCGAGGAAACCTCATTTCTTGTGATCTTTTAAATCGCCTCTGTAGGTGTCTTCAAATCGCTGAAGTGTAGAGTTTATTTGTGAATATGTAGCTGTAGTCTAGACTAGGAAGAGGCCGTGTTACTTGGCTGTTTCCCACTTCACCAAGTTGCTGCAGAAGGAAGGACCAGATGTGACCTGGTTCGTTTTCCACAATCCTGCAGCTGACATAAGCATTCGTTTATCACAAAAGCTGGATACAATTGTACCAATCTTCTTACAATATGGGAAGACTGGCGATTTCTTTGTGAAGCTGTGATGGAATAAAATTTCTGAATATTACTTATGATCAGGCACCATGTAAATGCCTCTGTAGACATATTTTGGTAATGGAATGAAAGTAACGGTTGCATCCCACTGCCACTTCCAACTCTACCTCCTCTAGGATGGAAAGTTGTCTGAACATCATCACCTTGGTTGTGGAGAGCCGAACCTTAGAACGTTCCTGTCGTCAAATTCAGATTCAGCTCATTGTCTTTCAACATTATGAGCTACGGAAGTTGGAAACATGCTTACCTTCTCGCTTTCATGTCTGTCTGTCCCTTGGTGTAACGATTTCTTTAGACTACCTCTAAATCATCATTCCAAAATATTTGTATATGTTTTGTGCATGTAAGGAAACTACACGCTTTCTTTTATGGGCAGATGGTACGTTATTGCGGAGTGAGGAAGTTGGATGAACTAAGAATATGGCTGCACCGTTCGCCTTTGTCCTTTGGACAACATCCTTGTAACATGTTTGAAACTATTCAAATCAGTAGATGCGAAATGTGAAAAATGTAGGGTGATCAATGGTTGCTACCGGGCATACCGATGACATTTATTGATGTTAAGAAATGGTTAGTAAATATCTGAATAGTAGCGATTTCGAGCTAAATAATCCTTTTTAGTAAAACTTCACGTGGTTCTTACTGGCCTGTAAGATACTATGAATGTTCGGTTGTCACTGCTTAGATCTTGGACAGCCAGGTTGATCGGTGATGGGATCTAGTTACCAAGGAGAAAACATCTGTTCATCAGAGGAAAAGGGATCAATAAGCGGATCATTCTAAGGAACAATTTATCTTAATTTACTCAGTTAAGGATGCTATATTCGACCGCAAAGGAATATGCAACTCTACGGTGACGTTATTTTCACTTTTGCTGAAATATCATGTTTGCTACTACTTTGTTTGGTGAGGTATCCTATGTGATTTAGCCCGTAGGGTCTCAGTGACACACGTCATCTGATCTGCTGCTTCAAATGTGGTGTGTTTGCCAAGCTGGCGTGGAGGTTGTTTCGATGGCTGAGCGATTAGCGAGGGTATCGGTCTCATTCTATTTCTCATAAAGCAGTAGTCAGCTCACCTTATTTTTTCAGATTAGATGAAATAAAAAACGTGACAGACAGATCACCCAAGAACTCATCGTCTGTAGACATGCTGATGTGTCAACTTTCTCATGAGTTCTTGTCAGTGCAAGGCAAGTGGAGGACATCAAGCAAAATAAGTTGCGTGGTTTGTCACAGAGGCAATAACTTTCATCACCGGATGGGCCAATTAGATTGAACACCTGGTTGCTTTCAATATATAGCCAGAGGAGATTTGACTAGTTGACGCTATCTCCGTAGGCTTCAGATACAATAACTAAGCCATACGTTGGACATACGCCATCTTGACAAGGACTAACCTCACGAAGACTGTCGTGCGCATTCATGAAGCGAAACGCACAATCTGTGAGCTGATGCGAAATTGAAGACATATCGACGGCAAGGTAAGAGCTCTCAAGACCGAACAAGTTTGACCTCTCAAAAGTTAGCTTCCAGTACAGAAGTCGTCTCCGGGTTGCCAGCTTGCCACTGCTAGCCTCTCAGAGTAGGTGCTGAAAGATGAAGTATCCGATACAATTGAGATTCCTTGGGTTATCAAGGAACTGATACTTAAAGTAAATCATTGTGCTGCAATTATTTTTAATTATTTATTGTATAACTCATCCTAAGCTTTTAATATTTCCTCCACAACAAATCATTGGATTCTCTTGTCTTATTTGCTTGGAGGTTATACCGTGTAGTTGCAGATGCTTGATGTGAAAACAAATAGTGAAATTCTCACTCAAATGATTCAAACTATGTGTTCTTAGACATCTAACCATCCATCCAAAGTAATAACCCAGGCAATGCATTTGCGTCGTTGTGACTTGTGACAACAACCATGTTCATAACATAATCAATAGCCATAATGAATATAATTACTCCTGGTTACCCTAGCTGCTAGACATAGGCCCAAACAAATAATAATCAATCATCAAAATATGCTCATTGCAAAATTTCCTGCAATCAAGCCATCAGTTGTGACAAGATGCTATTTGCAAAACTGGTTATAATCAAATGCAATCTTCTATTTAAAAACTGATGTGTGCATGGCTGTTTTCAAACGATGTGAAAATACATCATTTGTCATAACTACTGACATTTTGTTTTACTGACATTTTGATATTTGCTTTGGATATAAGCAATGACATGACAATTATGTTCAAACCATAAGTAGATACGAACTAACACTTATACCTATGAAGCATGTCTCTCTCTCTCTCCAATGCAAAGCTCACAATTCTATCCAAATGGTTGAATAGTCAAATACATTGTGTATGTGATGTACATTTTGTTTAGTTTTTTTTTTCCAAAAATCCAGAAATTCACTAACATTGGATATCGAACAAAATGCAAGAATTTTTTTTTTGCAAATTCATGAGCTTGCTCTGCAAAGTTATGAAACCAATACATTTAACGTACATTACTCAGTTTATATGATTGTGGAAAAGTCATATTAGGAAAAATATAACTATTAACTTGAAATTATGTTCAGAATGTAAAGTCAGGTCATGCATGCTAGAGACATAACTAATGTGAGATTGCTTTTCAGTATACTAGTTTAGAGATAATCAAATTGGCTGGTTATATTTGTAGGTATATTATTTAATAAAAAATATTTTTTTCATGAAATTCACATTTAATAGTTATACTTCTTATATTTAATACGATTATCTAACTTTAAATTTTTATTTCTTAGAATTAATATAATACAATATTACATGCTTATCGTAAAAAATACAAACATAGTTAAATTTATAAAATTAACAGAAGTACTAAATCATATGAAAATATCTAAATATTTCAATCCAGAAGAGTTAACCACGTATAGTTTAACATTTAAGTCTAAGACTTAATTTGAGATTTAAACCTACGCTGAATCTTGAACTTGAATGTTTAAATAAAAATTTATAAACGAAATTCAAGATGAAGTAGGTAACATAAAAATATGGTATCATTTCTGGAATTTTTATAATAAAATTCCAATTTTTTTAAATATGTGAGTTGTTTATGATATCAATTAAGTTTATGAATAATCCTTCATTATTGATGAAATGTATATGATTGGATGCACATGAATATAGAAAATAAATTTCTTTATTATATTCATAGAACCAAGCTGTTCTAGTTTATACATCTAGAGTTAGGGAAAAAAATCTAAGCAAGTCAAGTAGATGACAGAAAAATATGGAACTAAACTCTCCATCAATTTTTGTGCCACTTTGATATCTAGTGAAGTCAAATAATTTGAAACTTTGTTCGTATAGTCCAAAGACACTAAAAACCTTTTACATTATATGAGTTGAATCAAAGAAAGTATATTAATAATAATGCCAAACCTCACAAGTATAAATAAAATTACAAATTTTGTTGACAAACTTACAACTCAGACATTATTGATCTGCATCAAAATAAAATCAATTGAAATTAATTCAAATTTAGATTCATAATGCCCAGATTAGAGAAAATATCCTGTCAAACTCAAAATTTCATATAAATAATGATAATAATAATAATGATATAAAGTATGAAAAGCTTATTAAATGTTACTTAACTTACCAAAGTGATATATTAAGCATGTCTGAAGATAATTGCCATGAAAGCAGATGGTGTTTAACACAGAGATATTTGACAACAACATATTTTGATTTTCATGCTGCACTCTATCCATATTAGTTTGTCATTTCCAGAATATCTCAAAGGAAACAATGATCTAGATCACACTTTGTGTTATATATAAGATTCAACTGTCAATTCAAAACTGATTCAACTCTGGACCCTTTAAAATTTAGGTATAATCTTTCAAGTTTATTTTTAATAAATGACAAGTGATCGAGTTCTCAACAATGATAGTCAATAGAGATAGGTAAGGGATTGATTTCCAACAAAGGAGATCAATATCTGAAAATAACTGACTTTCAGACTTTCAATAATAAAATACGTTATCAAAGTACGGAGTCATATTTGTTAGTGTGTCCTGGATATAAAACGATTGGCAACCACGTTCCGTGCATGATGTGCACAGAACATTGTTATCCACTTAAAAATGGTCCATACACATAATACTAGCCTATACACGCTGGGTAGATTAAAAATTTGAATTTGCTGTCCATGTATTTGGCGACATGCATAGTTGTTGAGACGACTTCCCATACTTGTGGTATAGTATCTAACCTGCGGTGGCTGGGATTGCAGACAAAGCATGGGTTGACCGAATTCTCCGAAATATGATGGAATACTCACACGATGCCAAACAGCTACCGGTGACTGACTTAGTGATGCTAGCTGAGCAGGAAGCGTGAGGATGGCTCAAACCCGCGTTTGAACTCACGGGTCTGCAACCGACCACATCAGTCCGGTCGAGTCGGCTGCCAAGTAAGTAACGGTGTGGCCTGTAGTGCCGGGCGGAGAGAGAAAGGAGCTTCCCACTCTTTTGTGTGTCAGCCTCCGAGTTTTTCTGCCCTAAGCACAACCCTCGCTGCTCGCTCGCGTCCCCATTCGCATTTCCTGGTCGTCTTTCACTCCATCGAGAGTTGGAATATTGCTGTCGCTTTCATCATCTTGCTGCAATCGAGCACCCTCTTCTCTTTCTTGTGATCTTTGTCGAAGTCTGTCGGTTCTCGTTTGCTACAGCATCTTTTATCGGGGGAGACCGGACTGGAGGTTGTTATCTCTCGTTTTCCTTTTGCTTCTCGACCGAGGTAGGGATTGACAGCAGCAACGCGCGCCTTGTATCTCAAGCGAAGTCTGCCTTCGGTCTGTAAGGTAGGCCTCGCAGCTTTCGGCTTTGGGGAAACCGAGTGGGGTTATCGCGAGTGTTTACTGATTGGAAGGTTTTGACGAGGCTTATATGGGGATAGGTTTTATCCATCTTTCTGCTCTTTATTCGTTCTCTCTTCACTCTTACGTTCAAGGAGTGATACCATTATTGTCTGGGCTCGTTGCGGTATTTCGGAAGGAATGAACAAGTTTGCAAATTTTTCAAGAGGAAATTCTTTACAATCTTTTCTTCAACGCAGCTTCAGTGTCCGTCTTTAACCCTTTGAGTAATTCTAGTTATATAAGAGATTGAGAACATTTGTTCATGAGTCTGCACGTCTCCACCCTAAAGTCTGCTGGTCGGTCTCTGCAGGGCGGATGTTCGTAAGTAATTATCCTCAAATAATTCCTCACTGTTAGCGGTTGAGTTGTATGTCAGGATCTGTTAGGAGTCGTGTTGGCGTTTTTCAGGCGGCTCCTACATTGTATACTCTGTACCCTTAATTTAGTAGTTAGGTCTATGAATACTTGACTCGCCACTGCTGCCTTTACTCGCCTGTTTTCGTTTCACATAATTCTGCATGCGATTCATGATACGGCACTGTATTTCTTTAGCGGATGCTCTTCTAGTGTACATATCCTCACCTTGTTATGAAATTTTTCAAAAGGTCAACGTCGGCCGATTTTCTTTCAAGCTGATCGTGCTTTTCAAACACACTTTGATAAACCATACATACTCTGTTATCATACTTTTCTACATATGGATGTATTTATAACTTTGCCCAATTAGAACTTCGAAGATCAACAAGACTCAAACTTTTTAGACCTTTTTATGTGACGAAACGACACGCACAACTAATTGTAGAAGGTCATTTGGTGTATGAGGAAAAACTCCACAACTTTTTGCAAGTCCCTGTGTTTTTGCACTCGAGAAGCCTTCTCCTTGACAGGCCTTTAACGTTCTTCCTTGATCGTGTTAGAATGGGTCAATTTGTGTCTGAGGTGCAGTGGACACTGAGAATCTACTGCCTTGTTTCTGCTTGGACTGTGGTCCCATCACCCGGGTCTGTACTTGTTGCCCCCGTTGTGGTAATCCGGAGGTTATGTACTTTTCTGTGTTCTTGGTCTCGTCGATCTCGTCTGTACACAACTTCATGGATCCCGCATGATAACCCAGCTTGCAAACGAACGAAATATACAGGGTCTAGCAGTACATCAGACTCTAGAGTGTATGTAGACCTCAGATAGGAAAGAAACAGCTCTCGCATTCCTTCATTACCAAAGGCCGTAAGATTATCGGTGATAAAAGTAAGGTTTCAAAACCTATACTCGGAGAATTGGCCCAAGATTAAAGATTGTTTGAAGAATTTCCCGTGTCTTCATTCGTGAGGGTTTATTGTCATCAACTTCCGCAGTCAAACTACAGAGAATGCTGTGAACCCACGAGACCCGGGTTCAGGGTCGGAACTGTTATATTTTTCTACTTCACAAGGCTGATTAGTTTTGTTGTAAACCCTGGTCTTAGACTTCATCAGAATTACTCATGATGGAGGTCAGGATAGTTGCGCAGGAATTCTTAGTTGCAAGGGCAAGCTGTCCTCAATAATGTGTTGTTATTTTACCTGCTGATACAAAGTTGGATAGTAGAGATTCCACTGGGGAATTTCTCTTATCTTGTACCACGTATGTAAACAACGGTCGATACTGTGCAAAGATTTTGCAAGCGGCAAGGAATGTTTTAGTGTACAACAGTACTGCGACTCACAGGGATTACTCCATAACACCCGTGCTCGCATTGGGCCGAACGTACGTCGATGAAAAGGATGGCTTGGACTTGGACGGCTTGGTAGTCCACGCAGCATTTCCTATTGACGGAACCAAGTGGTTCGATCCGCTAGGAAAGAAGGAAAAGATCAAGTACAAGATCATCTTGGATCAATTCTATCTCGTTTTTTAATGAAATACCATTTTTGGAGAAAGAACATGTACATGTGGGTTTTGGGCTATCCTCAACCCCCGCGCGGTGCAGTGCAGAAACCTTTTCACCCCGTCACCTACTGTGAAGCAGCCGGATCGTGTGTCGGTGACGTGATGCCCGTCCGGTAGATACTGCTGAAAGTCCGTTTCTCACACTGAATGCGAGGATTGGTATGTTACTGATAGGATGCACTTGTTGTTCCAACCAGGTTTAGTGTAGTTTATCTCGTTTTCGTGCACATCCCTTGGTTTGTTGCTGCCTGCTTCTCCGTTCCGCAAGTAACCTATTGTTTCTGTTCTGAATACTGTACGTATGCTTGACTTAGAAAGACCTCTAAGTCAAAAGGTAGAAAGACTTCTGACTTTTCAGATTGAATGCTACTTTTTCTGTGCCGTTATTTCTTTCGTTGCAATATTTCGAACCTGGTCATATAAATACGAGGCGTCGGGCTGAGGTACAGACCCTACGGTCGTACCTCCCGGGTATGTGGTCACTAATCTCCTTGCGAGTCGAGCCGTTGCGCTGGATCACGTTCTTTTCAGATTTTTTGGTCTCAGACAAGGCTGCTTGTCTTACTGATTGTAAACGTCTGTGAGGCCACTGTTTTGCTAAAAGTCGCTACTCGCAGAATATTCTCTTTTCTCAATTATATCGATACAAGTTACAGTAATAACGAATATGGTACTGCTTCTCATGGGTATCTGCAATGTAGCCGTGTGAGATATGTGCAGTGTACGCTGATTTTGGATGGGATAATTACAAGTATACCCCTGCAGATGAATCATCAACCTTAGAAACACTTATGCTCCTTGCTTTCTACTTATCTTTCTTTCTGCCCTAACGACGGACACGATTCTCTCTTTACATTGCAAGATGAACCATTGAACTCATCTTGTTTCTCCTATATACTAATTTTGATCACATTCTAGTCAAATTTCTAGAGTCAAGAATTTTTTTAAATTGGTACATGTAAACCATGTAAAAGAAACCTCCTCATGACCATGCAAGAAGTTTTCTGTATATTAGGATTCAAATTTTAACAAATTGTAATCCTTGATTCATCTTACCTTCCGTAGGCTTATGTAGTCTGTTTCAATCTTTCATAAGGTTTTGGTTGTCATTGTGGGGGGCTATTCTTGGTGTTTGCTTGATAATTAACTGGCTACACAGAATCTTTGTAAACTGAGGGTTATGACTGGATCAATCTCTTACACCGCAGGACACTACGAAACTTTAAGCTCCTTCTGCCGCATTGTGTCTTGAGTTTGGGATAGCTGATCTGGAAAGGTGGTTCTGTCTACTGCAGCTAAGATGGACATCAAGAAGAGAAAGGTAGAGGAGAATGGCACAGGAAGTGTTGTGGTGGATTTAACAAGGGAGGACGTCAAGAAGCTCATTGAGCCTTTCAATAAGGATCAACTAATGGATATTTTGCAAGATGCCGCCATTCGACACATGGATGTGCTTGAAGAAATCCGGAAACTTGCAGATAAAGATCCCGCTCATCGCAAAATATTTGTTCGTGGCTTAGGTTGGGATACCACATCTGATACCTTAAAAACCATATTTTCGTCGTTTGGAGAGGTTGAAGAAGGAGCGGTGATAATGGACAAGAGCACTGGGAAAAGTCGTGGTTTTGGATTTGTAACGTTCAGGCATATGGATGGTGCCCAACGAGCTCTGAAGGAGCCTAGCAAGAGGATTGATGGGCGCATGACAGTTTGCCAACTTGCAGCAACTGGTGCCCTACCCCAGGCTCCGGTACAGGAAGTTGCAACCAGAAAGATATATGTCGGTAATGTTCCGATGGAACTGACAGCGGATAGGCTTCTGGCTATGTTCGCACAGTTTGGAGAGATCGAAGAGGGACCACTGGGTTTTGATAAGTTCACCGGGCGCTCTCGAGGATTTGCTCTCATTATCTACAAATCCGCAGAATCTGCCAAGAGGTCTCTGCAAGAGCCGATCAAAACGATTGATGGACATCAAATGTATTGCAAACTTGCTGTCGATGGTCAGAAGCAAAAGTCGGGTGGAGTACTAGGTCAGGCTGGCAAGGGTGATGGTTCCGATGGTATGAAGAATGGTTTACAGCTTTCTAGTCATCAATCTGGAGTGGGTCTTGTAGGAGCTGGTGGAAACCTTCAGTATGGATCAAACCATCAAGGACTGATAAGTACCGGAATTCCCTTGAACCAGGGACAAGGTTTAAGTCAGAGTCTTGGTCAGCTTAATGGAGGGTTGAATCAGGGGCTTAATTCAAGCCTCAATCAAGCTTTGCATTCTGGTTTATCGGGCCACAACCAAAGTCTCGCCAGTCTCAATCAATCTTTGAACTCTTCGCACCATTCTCTAGGCCATTCCCTCAACCCTGGCCTTACCCACTCTCTGACACCATCAATGAACAATTCCTTGTCTCAGGGATTGAACCACCAGGGTCTGTCTCAGGGTGCTGGGCAACAACTACAGGTGCAAACATCTCTTGGCATGGCATCGTACGGAAATCACGTCGGAATTTCCGCTTACGGCTCTCAACCATCTATCTACAATGGGCAGCCAACGTCGTATTCATCAATGGGCGGAATGTCCTTGTATGGGCAGGCTAATAATTCTGTAAGTCAGGCAGCGGCTTTACAGAATGCTGCTGGAGGCCATTATCAGTTTGCAGCTTATGGAAACAATCAGCTCGCAGTCACGGCCACTCCTCGAACGCCGACTGTTGGAAGCCTTTCTCAGTTGCCTTCGTACTACAATCTCTAGGTGAGTTCTCTAGCATGCGGTTCATTTTCAAAAATTATTTCAGCCCACTCTGTATGGAGAGTTGTAGCCTAGTACTGAAGCCATCAAATAGTCCGATCCCTTAGAAGTCTTTGCCTCAGTTCTGTCAGTTTGCCACTAGTCTTGATAATCTCAGCGATTGTGCACTGTCATCTATCCTATTCATGATTACCTCGGATGTCATATATCACCCGTAAATCATGTGTGTTGATCCCCGTACTTCTCGTGTCCACTGCCGACTATGGTGGAAGCTGGTACCTATTTGCACATTTTGTGTCATTAAATTTTGTGGAAGGTGTTCTTACGCCATTGTGTGGAGAATCTCAGTCTCCTGTAAGCTCGCATGGGCTTGCTTATTTAGCCACTTGTGTCCAAGGTGCTTGGACACGTAAATTTGATATTTGATCCTTTCTGTCTCGCGGAGATGATTGCATAAAGATTTGACTGCAACGGCGAACTCCCATCCTGTCCAGTCATATCTGGTGGAATCTCTTCTGCCATTATCCAATTCTACATATGCAGAATTCCAAGTCGAAAGACATGAGGATCAGTCATCTTTTCCCTCTTGTAAAGAAGTATGCGGACTATCTTAGGGTTGTTCAGCATATTTAGATTCTGAGCAACTGCAACTTTTGTTCACGAATGCACCCTACCTAGCTCAACTGTTGTCTTCACGCGAGATTAACGAGTCTTTCATTATCAGTTACTTTGTTATCTCACTGCAGTGGTCGTACTTTTGTTTACTTGTTTTAATTTTCGGGGTATATTGATTTTGTAAACGACGATCACGGTTGTTGATACCTTGTTGGTTGCTGGGTCTGGCTTGTTATTCACTCCAGAATTCTGCTGCTGCTGCTATCGCTGTGTAGACGATGGTCATCTGGCCTGCCCTATTTACGCTGGATCTTTTGTTCTCCCAATCTGGTTCGCCGTCCTTCAGCGAAGCCCGGAAAATGTCACTATTTTCGAGCTTGTTTTCATGTGCATAATGGGCGAGTGATTACAGTTGCGTCTCATGTGTGAATGGCCGTCATTTGGCTGGGCCCAGGCTTTTTGCTTCTTGTTGTGAGCCTTCTATGCCAGGTGTGGCACATGAAGTACATACCCTTGCACAACTCTTTACTAAGGACGATGTTGGTGAGGATTGTACGTTGTTACAACATGGTATGACCGTGGTTGACACTTTAAATGAGAGGTTGCTCATGTCTGTCATATGGTACAAAGGTGTCACCAGGGTGCTCTCTTCAGAAGCTTTAAGTACATTTAGCAGAATTTGCAGCGCATTAGGTAGTTTTCTTGTATCATCATGGTAGGATAGAGATAGTCTCAGTTAGGAGGCTGATGGTAGATGAGTTTTGATGTTTTGTTGTTGAAAGAGTATGAGCATCGTTATTTGATACCGGTGCCTTCATACCTTTCGATCTGACCCACTCTATGGGCTTTTCATACTCTGTAACTTTGCTGTTGTTCCAAAGAAGAAACAGCTGTATATTCAGTGACTGAAAATCACCCTTTTTATTTTGAAGAAATTCGTTTGTCTACGGTTGGCAATGAGTTTGTCTTGGAACTTGAATATGCGATCTGCGGATGACTTCTGAATCAATACAGGAGATTGTGTAGGAAGACATCGTAAGTGGTGTTTTCATGACAAGTTTATCTTTTTATCAAAGGCAGACGAGTTAAAATTGCCTTTGTGCGTGCTATCAATGGTGGACTTCCCGCTGGTATACAATGTGGAGCTTTTGCTTGTGTTGTGGATATCTGACATCATCATCAAGAAACATAAGATAAAGATCTGCAGGTAGAAGAAGCACCATCCATGCAGTTGAAACGCGCAGTTTTATCAGTTTGGCGGTACAATGCCATTTTCAGTAAATTATTAGTACTTTGCTCGCAAAGTTCCCACTCGCTGTCTTTTCTTTTTCCAACAGGTTTACTTTAATTCATGTTGCTTAATGGTTATTTCTATTTGTTGTCAAGTGCAGTCCTGCAGCCATACATGGGGATGAAGTGCCACCCTTTGCGGCTAATCCTTTCGCTTTAATGCCGGTGATGAGTTCGATCTAAACGACCATGATGTGTCAAAGGTTGCTTAGTACATTATGACTGATGTTAAAGCAGATAACTCGGGACATCCTTCTAGATCTCAGTTAGTGAACTAAATCTCGAGTGTTTTTAGGATCTGGATGCATCTTTCTCATTACTAATGGTCTTGGTGTCAATCGGAGGGTGAAGTGAAGGGAGAGAAAAAAGGTCTTGACCTTGATCAGCTTGTCATTTTCACAAGATTATGATTCTACTTTTTGACCCGCTTGTCTTGTCAGCAACCAAGGGTTACATGATTTATCTTTGAAGTTCTGAACGAGGACTGCTACTTTAGGTCAATTAGGACTAATGTAGTATTGGATTTGCATGTTATCATAGCCATCTCTTTCGGACAGTCATAAGTATCCATATATGATTCGAATATGCGGATGGCCTGTACTCTGAACTTAGGGCGTAGTTGGAGTTTTGATGAGACTCGTCATCAGATCAATGAGGTGGGCCGTTGGTGTAGAAGTTTTAATTATAGAGCTGTTTCTGTTAAGCTTGAGCCAGTGCTTTCTACACATACTTCTGATGGCGTTCAGAGTTGCGAATTGTCTCCTTCCAGTTCTGTTCTTGAGCTCGTTTGGGAGACACGTTTGATAGTTGCAGGTTTTCTGTGTCTGGACTCATGTGAGCTGTGCAGCTTGTAATGGAAAGTTACAAACAGGTGTAACTGGCGCATGCTAGTCCCAACTATTTTTGTTCTTAAATACGAATCTTCTCTATTGATTCACATCACCTATGCATGTTTGTTAGGAATGTAGAATTATAAACGTACATTTCAAATCGTATCATTCGGCATCGCGCATCGATTCTATTTTGTACGAGTTCTCTTCGCTGCAGAGGTAAGTTCACCAAGTAGTTTGAATATTTCTTGAGCGTTGTTCTGCCCAATGCATAATCTTGTACTCGACTTTGTTTTCTCGAACTAATTGTAAGAATTTCTCCGTTAACCTTCCTTCGCCAGTGAAGTACCGCTTTCGCTTTTGAGTTGAACCGTCGGATTCATGTCTCAGTTCTGCTTCAGTCTGGTTGTAAGAAATTGATCTATCTACAATATCTTGTACTTCAGGCTGGCTCTTTTCTCATCTGCTGGATTCATTTGATGTGTTTAGTCTGGCTGTATTGGTGTATCCTTTTCGTTGTTTAGTATCTTTTTACTATCCCTAGAATTGGTGTAATATGTACAATTTATATTGTCTGTGCCGTATTATTTGATGTGAAAGTGTTTCTGGAAGTTAAGATGTTTTGGACGTTTGCTCTACGTTTCTACGTGTCCAGCGCATGTTGAACAGTTGCCAGCGTTCGTGTGCTTCTGGTACTCGGCTGTACCGAATTGTGAATGAAAAGTTCTTCTGATCGGAGTATATTTTCTGTCCAAACTGCTCACGTGCAGCAAATTGAGGAAGTGTGGAATTTGCTACGTAGCATCTTTGGTAAGTATCAAGAGTTCTATGTATCCTGATCCCTTCATATGGATCAGGGCAATAAATAGACATTTATTTACATCTTGGAAATGGCAAGGGACGTTGGTTTGATTATGTACTTTTCAGTATAGTAAACATCTTGATTTTAGGGGAGATAAGTTCGGAATGGAATTGAAGGTCTTACTGAAGTTATTGGTCATCCACTGGATGTTAATGGTTCTCGTGTGAACCATGAGATATCTAGAACTCTGCAGTGTCGATTTCGAACTTTGACGAATGTTCAACAAGGGCAATGATTTATGGTAGTGATGCCGAAGTTTTTTCTCAGGACGCTAGGTGCTGAAATTGTGATTCATATGTCGGTTGAAAAGGCGACTTTTGGATTGACTGACAACCAAGGGATTTACTTTGAAGTGAGTTCCTTTTGAGAGCTGGTAGCGTGTTTATAATTTGGATCGTGATTTTCTTATCGTAACATGCATCTTGGACCCTTCTCATCTTCCCACTGGAACATGGCAATGATCTGACTTCTTCTTACAATATTTCAGTTGTACTTATCATTTTTGTACCGTGCTAGCGGTTCTACGTTATTCTATTTCACTTCTCTGGTTTATTATCCCAGAGCCTTCAATGTCTCTTCTAGCGCAAAAAAATTAGATGCTTACAGAGCTTAACTTGTGCAGTTCCTTCTGCAGGTTCTATGAACCGTAGTCTTTTATGGAGGTGTCGCTTTATTCTTTTGTCGTTTAATCTACGATAAGAGCGCATGATTTGAGGCCTTTCTATTGCACAACTCGAGCGAGCAGGAGAAGCACGGAGTCCTGTAGCAGTCATACTTCGCAGTTGGCAGGTTTTTATTTTCTGATTTTTATGGACACTCTTTTAGTCCCTTCTGCGGATTTCGAACTGACGTTTTGGACTTAGTTGACATGCCTTCTGATTTATTGTATCGACACGAAACCTGTAGACCTTCAACTACAGGTCATGGTGACATTGATCAAATATGTTGTTTAATCTGGAATATTGTTTAGGTATTTTGGTTTCCTTTATGTAAGTAACTCATTGAGTTTCTACACAAGTAATTGCAGACACGGACGTGCCAGAACCAATTTGTTGAAGTTTGACTCATGCCATGAGGAGAGACATGACAGAGCTTTCTATGGGTAAAACTCAACCTTTCCAGCCTAATTCTTTCACTTAAAAGGTGGCCTTTCTCTTTCCTTGGGAAGGTAATCTAAACAACTGTAACGTGTTTCTCAGGGAAGGGAAATCTCTTTCGATGGAGTATCTCATTTTCATCCTATCTGGTTATGGTAAGTGATGGCGTGGACTGTAAGTGAGGTTTCCATTCAAAGCTTGTTTTCTTAGGTTTTCCATAGATGTGTCTATTCTTTGTATTTCACAACCATCTAACACTGCTTTTGCTTTCGTGTCGAATAGAAAGTATGTATATTGTATGTTTGTACCAACCAACGTGAAGGTCGAATATTGGTGCAAAAGATCCACACTTGTCCAGAGAGTTAAATGCGAGAGTTTCTATTCCAGGGGTACTGGAATAGAAACTCTTCGCAGGAGTACCCCTTCGCAGGACAGGTTTATGTCTGTGGAGTTTGTGTCGAAAAAAAGTGTCGCGACCTTATCGAGATTAGTCGTACAGTTTGGATGACGTGGAATTTTACAACTTTTGAGACTGCGGTGAAGGTAATGATGTTCCATGGATTGATGTGTTTCCTGTTGGGCCTACAGTTCAAGCAGGTAGTAAACCCTATGAACTATGCTACCCATTAGACCAGCGTCCTCGTTACCTTGTGTGTTGAGGATATCATAGAGATTAGTTTTAGGTCTAGTGCTGAGAGAACCCCATTTTTATGAGGAATGGAACTGTGGGAAACTTCAATTGAGTGGCTCCATTCAATTAGGTTGGAGATATTGTGAGGCTGAGATATTTTAAGAAGTTGCATCCGCTGGCTATCTTACAAATGAGTTGAAAATGGTCGTTGCAACAAATGGCGCATAGACAAAAGAGTTCAAAGTAAAGAAGTAAAGAAGTAAATCATTAGGTGGCCATCATTGACGATTCTTGTTAAACCATCAAGAAAGTAGTCGATAGTGAACGCATTCGTTATAGTGACCTGTAAACTTTACTTTTGATCATCCAGATCAGTACGGAGATTTGATGTCGGCATAGCGTTTGTCTAGGAGTCCCAATGAAACACAGCATAGTGTCTCAATAACATACAATGAAGACTTTTTTTAAAAAGAAGCTTTTTGTTGAAAATGTTCATTTCAACCCATGTTTACTCCAATCGCGAGAAAAGCGACTTAAGGAGCATTTTTTCACACTTTATTCCCACAAAGCAGCCAGCTCGACATCTTGATGTTAAATGACTTGCCGTCTCAAAAGTGTGTATTAATGTGTATACTAGTCAGGTGTGTACTTCCTGACTGACAGTGGCAAAAGAGATAAACTCGAAAATACTCCTAGAACCAGCTATTGAAGGTGGTGTGTCCGTATTTCATTCGAAATTTACGAACCGCACTGTGACACGACGAGACAAGCTGCCGTCTTTTGGTTGTATATTTCGTCCGAGAGAAGCTTATCCGAACCTGACGGGACTGGTTAACAAAAACACTCGCTGGCCAAATGAATGCATATTCTGGATGCCGACGTGTCTCGCATGTCATACGATATCTGAAGCATCCGAAAACGTTCGGGGACAATGAAGTTTGATTCTCTTTCTCCCTATAGTTATAAACGTGAAATTTCAAGTCTTTACAACTTGAAACCTTCATCAGTCCCGACAACTGAAGCAACCCAACCCATAAAACCCAGAACGGCCGGAGATATCGACGCCCCATACTCTTGCTCTCCACAATCATACAGGTGAAACTTCAAGTCTCTACAGCTTAAAGCCTTCATCAGACCCGACAGCACTGTGAATGCAAAACATTACGTTGTGAACAACACCTTCTAAACTTTACTCTTCGGTTTTGGTTCGGTTCAGTTTTGGTTAACATTCCGGTGCTGATTCGAAAGAACTTGAAATAGAAATATGAATGGGAACACAAGCGAAATCTGTAACAAAGACAATGTAAGATGGTTTTTATTAGCTGTGTGGAGTACTAAATCGATTTTTTTGGCTTTCACTTGACGAATAAAAAACGCATTAATTCGAAATTGAATCGAAGATATAAAAATTGCTTATTTATTTCCTGTACAATGAATTTTTGATCCAAAGAAGACAATTCTGAAACTTAATATCCGAGAAATATCAAGATATAGAAATTATTACTTGCTAATACAGTCAAATCTTTGGATCGATTTTTTATTAACCTACTGTATTTTCAATGGTGAAATGAATGTTTAACTTCTTCAGGTTTCTTCCTAGGTTAGAGCTCGTCATTGAAAATTATGAGCTATAACGTTGTTGTTTATTCTCAACTTGTGACGATTGATCATTCAGATATAAAATCTTTTGAAAATTCTCCAATTTTAAATATTGTGTTTATGCTATACAATTAATTCCATTATTTTCCTTATTAACATATAGTGATATATGTACAGTAGTCGCAAAGTCATGATTAAAACAAAAATAATTGTAACCAAAATATAATACAAATTTTTTTTGTAAACTATTCTATATTTCATTTTTTCCTTATGATTAGTGTTATATCTGAATTGAAAATTAGTTCATCAATTTGTGCATTGAGCTCAATATTGATTTTATTTAAGATGTTTTGATCCAATTATCTACAACTAAATTTTTGACATACTTATATTTATACACATTTTTTCTTCAAATATGGATCTTAAAATCCTCAATTTCAAATTTCTTAAGAATTTTTTTTTTGATTATAAAAAAATATTTATTTTCACTTTAGAGGATATTTTCTTTAATCTTATATAAAACATTGATGTTTTTCAGACTTTTACTTTTCTAAGACAAAATTGAAAATACGGTTTAATTTTTTTCAAAAAATTTCAAATCAATATCAATATCTATCTCAATATCTTACCGTTAATATTCTCAACCGTTGGTTTGTTTTGTTGATTGATTGATAGCTTAAAATAAAAATATCGAGTCATGTTGAGCAGATAAAATATCTAATTTTTTTATTTTACATAATCAATTTAACTAATAATGATAATGAATTGAAAAATTTTCAAAATAATTTATATGCATCATTTTTAAATTGAAAAATATAAAGAATTTGAATTAATATGTATATGTCTATATCTTAGTTAAATGATTCAAAGGAATGTATTCAAATGGAAATTTGAAACAATATTTCTTGTGAATTTTTTTTCTTCTTTCTTGTGATTTTGACAAAATCAATTATAATAAAATGATCAGGTTTTTATTTTATAATATTTGTAATAATCATATGTAGTAATAATATTAAGTTTTCATGAATTTTTGATAGTTATAAATGATCAAATTTCAAAATATGTGTTAGATCTTAAAATTTTTATGCAAGCAATTGAGTTAAGTTTGGAAAATTTATACAAATTTTTGACTTTATTAGAGAAAATTGTAATATTATATATAAATGTTGTCATGTACTTTCATATTTACTAAAAATAGACGTTGAACTAGGGTTTCAGTTTTGAGGTTATAGGATCGATCACGACTTGAAGAACTGACGTTCTTCAAGTCTAGCCTGTAAGTGTTGGGAGTAGAGCAACTGTCCGTAAGCGTCGACTTGAAGTCTCTTTGGAGTGGGTTGGGCTCGACTTAAGTATGTGACGGTGACGGTTTTATTGCCAGTGGGGTAATTAAGACCGACGTGTTTTCCAGTGAGAAAAAACACGTATTTTCAAAAATACTTGTTTTTCTCCACAAACAAAACCGTCACAAACATAAGTCGAGCCCAACCCACTCCGAAGAGACTCTAGGTCGACGCTTACGGGCAGTCGCTCTACTCCCAACACTGACAGGCTCGACTTGAAGAACTAACGTTCTTCAAGTCGTGGTCGATCATATAACCTCAAAATTGAAACCCTAGCTCAATGTCTATTTTTAGTAAATATGAAAGTACATGACAACATTTACATATAATATTACAATTTTCTCTAATAAAGTCAAAAATTTGCATAAATTTTCCAAACTTAACTCAACTGCTTGCATAAAAGTTTTAAGATCTAACATATATTTTGAAATTTGATTATTTATAACTATCAAAAATTCATGAAAACTTAATATTATTACTCGAAAAGCGTAAGTGTCGACCTGGAGTCTCTTTAGAGTGGGTTGGGCTCGACTTATGTGTGTGACGGTGATGGATTTGTTGCCAGTGAGGTAATTAAGACCAACCTGTTTCCAGTGGAGAAAAACACGTATTTTCACTCGAAGAACTAACGGAGGTTCTGAGTAGCAGAATTCTTTAGAATTCGTTTTACAAGTTTTGGTGTCGAATGATGTGGTTGCGGTGCATGCGGTGCATGCTGCTCGAGTGGAGTCACCTCGTTGAATCATGTAGTGTCGTCCGTTTGGTTTTCGGAACAAAGCATTTTTCGGGGACAATAGATAGCTTGGAGATTTCACGCACCTAAATCGATGTCGAATCGCTACGCTTTGGAATGAGAAAAATAAAGAAAGAGATAACATTCTTCTGATTTCTTTTGAAGAGTTTGATGGTTCGTGGACGAGCAGCAGTGCTTTGCGTGCGAAGTCGATAGCATTCTTTTCTTGTTGCTTCTCCACCACAATCCAGTTGTGGTATATTTGAGTGTGTACCCTCTCGTGTACTATGTGTGTGTATGTGAGTAGCATGTCAGTGATGTAGAATGTAGGGTGATATATATTCACACGACAATGTAATAAAATTTGACAAATTGTCGATCAATATTTTTGATAAATATATTGAACTCTCTGTTTTTTGAATTCTTGGAGACTATTTTATTATTATTTTTAAGATTTGCATTATAAAATGAATGAAAGATGATGACTTGAAAAAGTAGGGGTTAGTTATCCCTCACTTAGAACTAATTAGCCCTCATCCTACTATAACCTCTTCTCTGACTTAGAAAACACCCAATTGCTACTCGTACCACGAATCCTATAACCTTGCATGGACCAATCAGAAAATTGACTCAACCAATCAGAGAAAGCGTATAATAAAGTGAGGACTAATTAGCCCCAACTGAGCGAACACTAGCCGCTCCCCTTGAAAATTGTGTTATGTTAATTTTATGCATATTTTATCATACATATTATTTTAAAAAAATCTATGAATGATGAATTGAAACCTTATGTAATTTATAATTTTTGAAGAGTGAAGAGCTCTTTAAAATAATAGCTTGTATTTTATTAAACATTAATCTAGATTGAAATCAATAAAAAATGATTTAAAAAATTTTTACTTCAAAAGCTAATCCTGATTAAAATTTGAGATTATTTATAACAAATAATTGCTTCAATATTTTGATGAAGATTAACCTTCATGATGACTATAACAAGCTTTACAAAAATACTACACAAAATGTATATGTTTTATTTAGCTAGATTGTCAAAAAATATCATATTAAAATACTAAAATATGTATTGAAAGTATCACTCTATTTTTTTGTTCAATATCTACATTTACAATCTTTGCAAAAAAAATTATATATGTATAATAGCAAGATTGACAAAAAAATAAAATATCTTAAAAGTTTAAATTATGTTATGAATATCTATGGTGTCAAGCTAAGTGATTTAAATAATTATAATTAAACTAGGTTGTGTTAAACAAAAGTTAAGTTCTATTATATTTTTTTCTTACTTCACTCATTTCTTGCTTATACATACAATAACTTATATGATTACATTGCAATAAAGTCATCATAGATCTATGTATAAATTAGAGTTTATCATGAAATTTTTTTAATCAAAACAAAATAAAATGAATCCGTAGAACGAGCATTTAATTGCTTATCTATTTTATTTGAAATATATGCCAAAACAACAAGTGTCACAATATTGCAAAGTTTTTCAAATGAATCATTTTTATAAAGATTTAAACAAAATTGATTTTATCTTGAATTCAAACTGATTCAATCAATTTATGTCACAAAATATATTTGAAAATACAATACTTGATGTGGATTCATTAAATTATAAAATATATTGAATGATATACAACTAGATGATTTCACTTAAAAAATCATAATGAAGATCTTTATTCATAACATTAATATCATGCATTAATTTCATTTAATCAATAAAATAATCTAATCAAAGTTTTTAACTTCGTTATTTTTGCTTTCACTATGCATCTAATTTTTGTAATTGATTGAGATTGACATTTTGCAATGTAGATTACCAATCTATGCATTTAGTTTAAAAAAAAGTACAATTCTAGTTGAAAGATTTTTTT